GTGCGTGCGTGCGTGCGTGCGTGCATGCGCGCGTGTGTGTGTGTGTGTGTGTGTCTGTGTGCGCGCGCACGCGTGCGTACGTGCGTGTGTGTGTATGCTTTTTTCTCTTTTTTGTGGTAAAAAGGAGGGGTCCGGACCCCCTCGACCCCCCTCTGGATCAGCCCCTGCACACGTATTTCAGATTTCCGGCTATTCAAAGCTGTGCGGGTGTCGTGAACAGCGAGCTGTCACAAGCGGTCCGATCACAAGCACGTAATATTACTTGGTCCGCACAGAGTGGAAACATGCGAAGCACGTAATATTACGTGCTACGCAGCCAAGTGGTTAATCAGTCGCCCGACCTACCAGCCCATTCAGATCTATCTATATTCTAACTTTGGAGTCCGTATCATCAACCAGTAGTTCCTATATAGCATACAATAAAACATTTGTGTGTGTGTGCGTGCGTGCGTGCGTGTGTCTGTATTTCAGTGGGTGCTTGCCAAACAAATGGTTAATGTGTTACGTGTAAGCATCGATCATTGTACATGTATTTGTATTGACATCTCAACCATAAAAAAAAAACATGTGCAACAACTAAACTCTCCATATAACACCTTACACATAACCAGGGCCGGGCTAAGCGTGTGGGGGGCCCGGGCCACGCAATTGTGTGGGGGCCCTATAGTCTGTATTTTTTCTGCACTTTCATGCTTGCAAATTCAGAGAGTATTTCATCGTGTTTCAACAAATTTAAAATGTCACTTTCGATAGCGAGAATACTGAGGTTTACCAGTCTCTGTTGGCTCATCGTGGTTTTCATGTGATTTTTAATCAACTTGAGTTTTAATAATGACCTTTTACTGCTATAATTCGAGACCATCAATGAAAGATAGATTCTCAGAGCAATTTCGGTATTAGGGAAAGTGTCCTTCAGCTGAACAGCAAAATTCAGTCAGAGAAACAGCATGGGAAACGCATCAATTCAACGTTACATGCTAAGAATTTCGTGAATCACAATTACGACAGTTTTGTAAATTTTAGGATACTCTAAATGTGGGGGGGGGCCCAATTGTGGGGGGCCCGGGGCACGTGCCCCTGTTGCCCCGCCCTTAATCCGCTAGTGCACATAACACTACTCTACTGATAACACATGCATCACAGTCACTAACACACACACAGTCACAGTCACTAACACACACACTGTCACAGTCACAGTCACGCGCGTAGCGCGGGTTTCAGCTAGTCGTACTATAATTTGGCGAATGTTGTATGTATGTATGAAAGGCTCCGTCAGTTTGGATCCAAATAGCGCCATATTCACAGAAGAGATCGAGGAATACACGGGACGGGTTCTAAACTATACTCGGTTGAAAACCGTAAAAACGGCAAAAAAAAGACAAAAAAAAGACAAAAAAACGTAAACATTTGCCTGAAAATAGGGGGCGCTGTTTTGTTTTTCGTTCTGTTTCAACCAAGGAGCTTGGTTTCAACAGGTTTAAATTTCGTGTTGTTCTGTGTATCTGTGTTCTAACTTCTGTGTCTGTGTGTCTGAGATTTGTGTAAGCCTCATAATGTAAATAGAAATAACCATGTAATAATGAAGTTAAATATTCAGTAGCTATTTGGCCATAGTTTCCCATATGAGATGTACAAGTTGAATTTCATCAGCGTAGATTTTTTTTTGGAAGTGCAATGCTGTAGTGTACGTGTGTCGTGAACACCGATCTGTCACAAGCGGTCCGATCACAAGCATGTAATATTACGTCGTCAGGGGCGTAGCCAGGATTTTCAAAGTTGTAGGCACGACTATCTGAGCGGAGCGCGACCATCGGTTGGCGCGGAGCGTACAAGAAGATTTTTGGTTTTACAAACCCCCCAGATGGCCGGAAACGGCCCTTCCCGAGTGTTCATTCTGGTTCCCTGATCTCTTGCTAACTTGAGACACCTAATTCAATATCACTTTTAAACCCAAAAAAACACAAACGAGTTAAAATAGTGTTACGAACGAGTTAAAATGTTAAAAAACTGACAAGAATGGATCCTAGTCTTTTTCGGTGGGTAGAGTGTTGAATGAAACGGCACGCGATAGAAATGACAGCCTAGATGACAGAAGAATAGGTCACCTAATTTAGCCATATTCTTGCTACGTTCATTTCAATAGTTTTTCCTGCCTAGACTCTTAAACTCGTCCAGCAAGCTTATGGATTTGAATTATGGGTGTTTTAAAAAAAAAGATAACTTGGCCCAAAAAAGTGTAGGCCCGGGCCTACAGTGCTACATAATGGCTACGCCCCTGGTCGTCCGCACAGAGTGAAAACATGCGTAGAAATAAGCGATCACAACCACGCAATATTACCTGGTCCGCACACAGTGGAAACATGCGAAGCACGTAATATTACGTGCTACGCAGCCAATTGGGCAATTAAGTGGTTAATCAGTGGCCCGACCTACCAGCCCATTCAGATCTATCTATATTCTAACTTTAGTTTGGAGTCCGTATCATCAACCAGTACATAGCATACAATAAACATTTATGTGTGTGTGTGCGTGCGTGGGTGCGTGCGTGCGTGCGTGCGTGTGTCTGTATTTCACTGTGTACTTGCCAAACAAATCGTTGATGTGTTACGTGTAAGCTATCTCTAGTACTATGGCCCGCATTCGATAAATTGCCGCAGGCCTGCGGCAGTTTATCGAACGCGGGCTATAGTACTAGAGCTACGTGTAAGCATGATTGTACATGTATTTGTATTGACATCTCAACCATAAAAAAACAAACATGTGCAACAACTAAACTCTCCATATAACACCTTACACATAACACTACTGTACTGATAACACATGCATCACAGTCACTAAGCCCGCGCGTAGCGCTGGTTCCAGCTAGTTAGGTTAACAACTTGATATATTCTTATGTTGTGGCCGCTACCAGGACATCATAGCGTTCATGCACGTAGATAAATGATTCAAGTTAAGTTCCACGCAATAGGATTGTATATATTGGGCGGAAGTGCCACCTCCAAACTGGAGGTGGCTTTCCGTGATTGAGATAGATCTGGGTCGTTACTGCTTTACGGGGGTTTTCCTTCCTGTGGGGTCTTCGTTGGCTCGGACTATGTCACTGTACACAAACTCGCAGAAAGATTGAGGCGTCACAGTCTACACTATCGATTACTTTGTCTTTCTGTGAATTTGTGCAGTGGTGTGCATGCGGTGAGACTGCGTTGCAGAAGAGCAATTGAACGGCATTTATATGGAATTATTTATGCAGGGTTTTCATTATCTTTTATAGTAACAGGCCGAAATGCTTTTGCAACAGGCCGTGGCGGTGTGGTGGGGGGGGCAGCTAAACAAAATTGCAAATTTAAAAAAAACCTATAGATGCTCTGAGATGCAATCTGGTGTAGTCTGAGCTGCAGTAAACAGACACATTTGGATTACAGTATGGTCCTTTTTCCAATTTGATTTCTCCCGGTACATTCAGAGTTCACCAAAAGTTTCCAAATTATGACGATTTAGTAATTATAAGAGTTAGACAAGTACGTAAATAGCGTTACTCAAAAACAAAACAATGCTTCTTGTGCACATAACATGCATACAAATATACTCACCTGATTTATTAGTAGTAGCTTATAAAACACTTTCACTTTAGAAAATAATTAAAGGGACAGTAGCCTCTAGGATTTTACTGCATACAACTGTACTTACTGTGTAACAAATCGTCTATACCCACACGTATTTGTTACCAGATGCCTAATTTAATTGTTATAATTAATTACACATCAATGCTACGAAATTTGAACGGCGCCATGACACCCGCGACCGTGCTGCCACCCCGAAAAGGTTGCGTATTTGACAATTTATTATGCACGTTACAGACGGAGGGCTAATCACAAAAGTGCAATTATAATTATACCTAAATGCTATTTAACCAAAAACGATATTCATTTTAGGGCAAATTTTTATCCATATTATAACTAAACAATATGTCGGTTATGATAAGATATTACAATCCTTTTGGCTTTTAAATGAATAAATAAGAAAACACCTCGGGTCTGTAGCCCTTGGCTGGAAAGTGGTTTTGCGCAACTTATCAGATCGTGCGCTTTGAGTGCGGCCACCGTCGTTGTAATCAAACCTGTAGTCGTTCAGGTTTTAACAACTATTTAAAAAACAATATTTCTAAGGTGATTGAACATGAAACTTTTTATGTAGCGTACATATAACTAAATTAGCTGAAAAATAACCCTAGAACCTAGAGTTAAAAACTCTCCCTTTAAAGCAACTAATGCAAATAAAAAAACGGCCGAAACAGCAGAGTACAACGTCAATTCGGCCGCTGCGCCGGTTCTCTAATGAGACACTGTTTAGTGTAGCAATTATAAAAGTATAAAGACTAATAATTTTTTCTACATATTGGAATGGCCCCCAAGTTGCACAGTGCCGTGCTGTTTACCTGCCTAATATTTATTAGCTCATCTGACTAGTCAGATGCAGCTTGTAGAATGCCCGCACTGACTCGTTCCGTTCATCCTTCCGTCCGTCTGTCAATAAGTGGCAAGCAACAAAATCTAATCGCTCGAACGTTACGGTCCGATATTCGCACATTGGGGGGGGGTCTCAAACCGAGTTTGGATGTCAAAGCTGGGGGTCAAAGGTCAAAGTCCAAGACGGTGGTAAAGAAGGGGGCGAACATTCCACTCCTATAGGGAGGAAATGCAGGAATTGCGGCAAAATCGTAAACGGCCTCGACCTAGGCTCGCTGATAGTTTGTATAGATTGGCATGGTAGGAAAAAGCCGACTCACTGTGCCGAAATTGGAGGTCAAAGGTCAATTGGGCACAGGGCAGCATTTTTAAGACATTTTTATGATGGAACATGGCTGCTGACAGAGCGATTTGAAAAACTTTTGTTTTCAGCGGGTGACCTAGCATTTTTATGGCATTATTGAAAGGGACCATGAAATATACTTTGCTGCTGCATGGGCGAAGAGTAAGTGTCAGATAACTAATGGACCCTCACAGAGCGACGGGTTAAACACTGGATTTGTTGACTGTCTTTAACAAAGAATTTTGACTGCCGGGTTTGCCTAGTAAAATCTATACATGCCTGGATGTATGAGGCCTACATGTCACAGGTGAAAATTTCAAAAGCTAAATTTGTGTTAGAAGAAGTTTATTGTTCCTTAAATCGCTATTAATTTCCTATGGCATTCTGTAACGTGTGTCAGTTATGTTGACATGTAAGCGTATGCTCACTGCGCAGTGGCTACTGCCAGTGCATGCTGTTTGGTGATATGCGTACGTGTAGTTTTTGCGCTGCCGTTGAATGGTTTACAGGTGGACAGCTCTTCTATGCAATTTGCAGCCTGTAGCTTGCGTAAGGTAAACTTGGACTGAGTGCTTACCTATCTGTCTTGCAAATAGTTGCTTGCTACTACGTACCGATGAGAGCCTTTACCATCTTTAATCTGCAAGCCAACTTAGCAACGGTTACGCGCCATTCCGCGCTGGCAACTTCATAATGATCCCACACGAACATTCCCTTTGAGAAGGTTCCTCGATACCATACCCCTGTGACATTTCCACTGTTTCAGGCGTGTATGTGAACACATTTGGGACTAACAGGGTTTACTAGAATCCCACCACTCCACCACAGTAGACGTTAGATGAGCGCTGTCGCTCCGCGGCACTTGTTATTAATCATATTGATGTTTAATTTTATATCACTTCCTGCAGATAAGCCTACTTTGGGATCCTGAGCTTTATTTTCACGAATAGGAAGTAGATTAACGAGTATATATGAAATAAGGGGTCCCAAGTTTATAATTGTCCCACAATGAGATAGAAAGATGTCACTCAACAGGGTGTTACTACAGGTCTATGTCCCCCAGGGTACTGCCGGAACGTACCCTGGTAACTATCTGATAGTGATATGGTTAGGGTTAGGGAGTAGGCGTAGGCGACTCCCTAGACTCGTTAGTGGCCGGAGTAGGCGAGGTAGGGGGCCTACGGTCCGGCATATTAGATAGTACCAGGGTACGTTCCGGCAGTAGGCCTACCCTGGGGGACATAGACCCTCTCAGCATTACTACAGGCCCTACTCTATGGGGTTACATATTTGTAGCTAGGTTTTAACTTTCATATCAGTTGCAAATCGGGTACGATACTAATGACACAGCCTGCCACTCGTCGACACTTGGGCCATTTCTATAATAAATTAATATTTAAATAAACATAGAATAAGATTTAGGTTACTACCAAAGTAAAGTGCTGTATAGTAGTACTGTTACATTAGTGTATAAGGAATTTCCTGGCAAGTTGCTGCCGATATTGATAACAGGCAGCAGCAAAGTGACCTTTGTAGGAAAGCAACACTGCTCCCATAAACACGTTAGACCTCCCCTCCCTGATAACACTATTATAACTCGTGTGATCGACATAGCGTTGTGTATTTACTACATAGATAAGGTTACCATGTAAACTGCTAAATGTGTTTGAGACAAGGCTCACATTTAATCCCCCTAATCTTAACCATAACCATACAGACCCATATAGTTCCAAACCGCATAAGTAGTAATTAATCTCAACCTAACGATAGCTACACTTTAGCCTCTGTCAGCCGTGAGAATACTACATGTTCGTGTCTTGCAGTTAGTGACTGTTTATTAGAGCTAGGTACATTCTCTATAACTATGATTCTAAAGTGTCACTATAATCGCGATCGTGGCGAATTGTACCGAGAGTGGTGTTTATACCGATTGAGCTAGCTCTAGTACTATAGCCCTCGTACATTGACTGCCGCAGGCATGCGCAGCCAAGGACTCAGGCCAAGGCCAAGGCAGCAAGGCTGTCTGCGGCAGTCAATGTACGCGGGCTATAGTACTAGAGCTATGATTGAGCCTGCTTGCCATGCTTGCTATACTTATATTGCTTAATAGTAATAAGTTTAAAGAATACCTGAAGTAAAATTCAGTTCTCTGTTTGAATCAGGAGGAACAATCGTGTCATTTAGTCGCTCGGCCAGGTATGCTCACCGCGTCACAGTGAACCAATATCAATCCATCACCAGGACACGTTCACATCTTGCAAGATTTTGGCTGCAATCAAGACGGGAAAATGACAGTGGTAGTATTGGACCAGGATTATGTGATTCTTTGCACCTTGGTGACCATAGGCATGCAAATGAGTTTCTTCATTATAGCAGCAGCATTCAAATTTGACAAAGTTACAGACTTTGCTGGTGGAACCAATTTTGTCGTGTTGGCAATTCTGACATTCGTTCTCGCACAGGTGAGTACAGGACCAGGTGTACATTTTTTTGTCGGATACAGCTTGTTCTGTGGTATACTGCAGGTGATCTAGGGCTACCTAGTGAAAGTTTATTCCTTTGATTAAATATATGCTAGGGTGTGAAGCTTGGTTTTAAATATTAGAAAGTTGGTAAAACTATTATTGCAAAGAGCCATCACTGAAAAGTAACGCTGTAATCTCACCCTGCTAATTTATGTGAATAGCCCTATAGCAAGGATCTGCTCAACTGATACCAATTATGGGGCAAAAAAAACGTTTTTAGGCATTTGCGTTTGAGTAGGAATTAGACTGTGTTGGTGGTGGGGTGTGTATATATATGTATATATGAGAATGAGTGAGGTGGTTACCAGGTTAGTCATGTTGATATTGTTGGCTATTCACATTTTGTTCAAGTTCAGGTTATATAATCATGTAATTGTTCTTTTTCTAGACCTATGATACACGGCAAATCATTGTGACGACGTTTGTGTGTGTGTGGGGGATAAGATTGTCTGGCTACCTGCTGTACAGAATATTGAAGATTGGTGAGGACAGACGTTTTGATGACAAGCGGGAAAATTTACTGAAGTTTGCCGCTTTCTGGATATTTCAGGTACTTTTTTTAATGTGTTAAATACTTCAACATTGCAGTTCCATATATATAAACTTATTACAATTTTTTCTACCTAGATGCATAACTCACCTTGCTTTTCAAATGCCTGAAAATGCATTATACAGTCAACCCTGTATATACGGCTATTAGGGGGGAAACACCAAAAGTGGCTTTTTTATCCATAAGAATATGGTAAGTAGCCCCTTACTTTTATATTAATGATTAAAAAATGAACTGCGTGTTTGACTATTTTCCAGGCGGTCTGGGTGTTTACTGTGAGTTTACCAGTTATTTTCGTGAACACTCCAAGAAATTCACAAGTGAACAACACATCTATTCCAAACGTCTTTACTCCTAATGACATCATCGGCATGGTTATCTTTCTCTTTGGTAAGGCATTATTAATCATTCATATATATATCATTATATTAGATAAGTCAATGGATGAATTAAGTCAGCAAGTTTCATAACTCCTGCTGTGATCGAGTTTCGCATGCAATGCATTTTTCAATCAGAATTTTACAATGTATCATATTCAAAAATAACATCTTGTTTGTATATTTCAGGTTTACTGCTTGAATCAGTTGCTGATATTCAAAAGTTCAACTTTAGAAATGATGAAGCTAACAGGGGCAAATGGTGTGACACAGGTAGGTAATTTCATCAGGTACACTCAGCATGCAGCATTTGAATATTCATTAGGCTTTCCAGGAAAGAGCTAGCATGTTTAAGAGCATTCTATACATATTTAGTTGGGTATCCTAGAACCCAGCCTTGTAATAGTGGAAATTCCAGCTTCTCAGTCGCGCGCAGAGCGCAGGGGGAGTCGTATTAACATCGCCAAATCTAAGCATACGTCAACTAAATAATGTTTTATAGCAAGGTGCCGTGATTTAAGCCATGTTTGGAATAAACTTCGCGAGGTAGTTGACCATTCCTAAGAGTCTGAAGAGCTGGTTTGTCAGTTGGAGTCGGCATGTCTGATATGGCTCGCACTTTCCGCTCATCCGGCTTGAGTCCTTCCGGAGTGATCACATTTCCTATTTACTCGACTGTATCCACCTTGAATTGCATTTTGGTGGGGTTGAATTTCACATTCTGTTCTCTTGCCCTTTCCAGCACTATCCTCACGATCCTGTCATGCTCCTCTGGGGTTTCAGCGGCGATAATCATGTCATCCGCAATTATGCATATACCTTTCATGTCACCGAACACTTGATGGTTCCTCTTCTGGAATACATTCTCAGGAACCGGTATCAGGAATCCGGCGTATTGAACGTGCATATGAGTGAGGATTCATGGTCGAGTTGCACCTGCCAGTAGCCATATTTCTCGTCCAGGATCGTGAAGAATTTTTTGCCATGTAATTGTGCAGCAACATCTTCCGGCATTGGTCTTTTGTAATGTTCTCGTCTTATGGCCGTGTTCAAGTCACGCGGATCTAGGCAGAGTCGTAGAGAACCGTTCTTTTTCTCCACTATCACGAGACTGTTCATCTAGTCTGTGGGCTCCTCCACGGGGGTTATGACACCTTCTGCCTCCATTCTGTCCAGGGTGTCCTTCAGCTTCCATTGAAGGCTGAAGGGGACCTTCCTGGGCGGGTGAACTACTGGTTTGATGCTGGGGTCTAGCTCAATCTTATATGTTCCTTCAAATTTCCCGAGCCCTTTAAACACATCCTCATATTCTTTCATGACGTCATCTCTTGTGAGGAGTTTCTCCTCCATGACACTTTCTAGCCTTGCAATGAGCTTCAAGTCCTGACACGATTTGAGACCTAGTATTGGTTCAGAGTCAGTTTCCACTACATACAGCTCGACATCTGTGTCATGTATTTTGGTAGAGATGCATCCCAGTGGCTGAAGTTTCAACCCTCCATACGCAGATAGCACGGTTTGTGTCTTACGGAGACACGGTTTCACGTGTAGTTTAGCGTAGTGTTTCTCGGGCAACACATTTGCTTCAGCACCTGTGTCAATTTTGAATTTTATTGGTTTCTTACTGCATTCTAATTTAAGTTCTGTGTGCCATGCATCGTTAGTGCTCTGTACTTGTCCTACCTCAACATGTACTGACCCGATGAAGAGGGTCTGTACTGGCAAATCTTCTTCCAACGCGTGAACTTTACCGTGCCCGTATTGCTTCCAGTTGCTACCACCACGACACATATTAGCAGAGTGATTTTTCTTCTTACAGTTGTGACAGTCCTGTCCGTACGCTGGACATTCGTTTTTTTCGTGTGTCTTACCACAGTTCCTGCAGTTGAATTTTGATGCAGCTTGCGGCTTAGGTTTGTGGTGAAACTTCCCAGTCTGGGACTTAGCCTGGGGCTGAGAGTATTTCTGTTCCTTGCTCGATACGGCATTACTCGCGGTAGCAACTTTTTCTATTTATCTGAGCTGTCTGGTGCTTGCCTCGGCGGCCCTGCATAACTAAACGATCCTGTCGAGTTTAGGATTGTCGGAGTCTCTCAATAGCCTTTCCTTGAGCCTGGAGTCTACCACACCGAAAATTATCCGGTCACCAATCATGTTATCTCTTTGTGTGTCAAAATCACAGTTTTTGTGAGATTTTTTATGGTCAGTTACGAATTGGTCTATCGTTTCCTGTGTTTTTTCTTGGCTCACAGTACTCACTAAAATTGTGTAGAACTACATCAAGACTGTCCTCATATGTGAAGGTATTGTAAATTTCTATTCCTTCGTCTCCGATCGTGTGGAGTAGTATAGCAACCTTCGTAGCACCATCTTTGCTTACCGCACCTGACGCCGTGAGGTAAAGCTCGAAGCACTGCCTCCACCTTTTCCAATTCTCTCCGAGATTCCCATCGAAATTGAGCTGTGATAGGGTTTAAACTGTTCCATTTTAGGTGTGAATTTCGTAATTATTCTGACACCATGTTATATTTTAATAGCAGAAGAGCGCCATTAGGAAAGCACAACAGAATTTATTCGCATCTGATTGGTTGATATTACATTCGAGTAATCCGGGTACTTATGATGTAGTGCATATATATGACAATTTTATTACAGGTATGGACTATATGCAGCTACCCCCCTGATTCTCGCATTGATGTTAGTAAGAGGGGAATTATTTGTGCCTAAAGGCAGTCCAGCAATAACGCAGAATTCATGGACTATTGTTTTCACACTTGACTTATCACCTGTGAAAAATTATATGTTGGGAATTGATAAACAAATTGAATACCTATTCAACCAACGTACTGAACGCTCACCTCCCGCCGCGGCCAGCATCCCTACTAACAATGCTGATTCCCGCACACCCACACGGAATGTATATAGAGATGCAATTAGAAAATGGTTACACCCAAATGTTACAACATCAACACAGATACCACCACTCAATAACACAGCACAATTATTACAGCAACACTAGATAGACGAGAACAACGAACAATTCCCTGACATAATCAAAGTTTTTATTAAGAAGCAATGCAGCTGATTTTAGAACGCACTATACCGCCATCTATCGGAACGCATTGATGGCCGGGCTAACTTCTGTTTTTTTACTACCAGACATCGCGTTAATAGATCCCTATTACCATTTGTCGGCCGTTTCCAAAAAAATATTGTATGGGGTAGCAACTAAGGACGATTTAAATGATTTACAAATCTAGATTATCTAGCTTTGAGATAACCCAAGGGGCCTGTCAACACGCAATTGAACATTCCCTTACTTTAACCTTACTAAAACGCAAGTTAAACTTAACCATGATACCTTGAACGAGCTTATAGACAGGGTAGAAACCATGCGAAACTTTGTCAATAGTATAAATAGCCAACTCCTAACTTTGGCTATTACTGTTAAAACTAGGACTGCAGCGCGATAGTCCGACTGCAAACGACTATTGATATGATGATTTTAACCTTACAAGATGTCACAAATATTGTAGCCGACTTAGAACTCATGAACCAGCTGCCTCACAGGTAGACTACCTATATCACTGGTGCCACCAACACACTTACAAAACATTCTTCAGAGCATTAAAAAAGTCATTCCAAATTACCTCGCGATGCCTAAATATAAGCCACTAGACGACACCATTTTGTATTTCTACAGATTACTACAGACAATAGTCATACCAGTACAAAATTCTTTTCACATACTCACATTTTTACCTCTTAAGCATGTTTGACAGATTTTGATCATTTTCCAAATTTTACCAGCGCCTGAATATATTAATGGCACCCAAGCGAATGTTTATTACGTACTTGATAAAGAATACATCGCTTTCGCGCAAGATAAGACACGCTACTTCTATCCCAAATAAAACCTAGTAAGTAAATGCCACCACGAAACACATAACATCTGTCAGGCAGAATCCGAAATTTATTATGTCAGAGGCTCAAAGGATTGCCTAGTAGCACTTTTTTAAAACACATCAATCACATACAAACCTATTGTCGGTGCAGGGTAAGGATTCTTTCTAACCCTAAACATCTAGTTACATATATTGGTAACGGTCACTGGCTTTTGTCACCGGCAAAATCCTTTCTTTTAATGATTTCATGTCAGGCTACAAATGATCAGGCACCTATTATTACAGATGTACAAATATCGTCAGGCCAATTTGNACTCTGAGAAAACCACTCTCGCGATCTTTTTTATTTCTTGAGCTTTCTTTAGCACTTTCTCCATTTCGCTTTCACCCCCCCCCACTCTCTCTCTCTCTTTCTCTTTCCAAGCCTCTTCCCCATCTCAATCTCACTCAATCTCCCCGGCGTCTCTCTCTCTTTCTCTCTCTCGCTATTTCTCTCTCTCTCTCTCTCATGCTTTCTCTCTCTCTCTTGCTTTCTCTCTCGCTCTCTTGCTTTATCTCCCCCTTTTCTCTCTCTCTAAATGTTGTTTTCTCTCTCGCTCTCTTTTCCTCTCTCTCTCTCTCTCTCTCTCTCTTTCTCTCTCTCTCTCTCTCTCTCTCTCTCNTTCCACGTTGCGTGGGCTGCATGGCATGGGTGTATGCAGGGGGGGGGGGGCGTGGGGGGCGTACGACCCCCCCCAAAATTTTAAAAGGTCCACATTTTTTCCAAAGACATTTTTTTCGAGGGCCTTTTTACAATGACATAAATGAAAAAGATCAGGTACCAGCAATGAGTCCAAAGACATTGCCAATTGCGTGACGTAAATCTATCCCAATTCCAGCAATTCTGAAACTGAGCCTTTTTTTAAACAAAATTTTGTTTCATAAAAGAGAGACAAAGACAAGACAAGATCAAGACAAGACAAGATAAAGACAAAAAGTTCAAAAAACTCTGTTTTAAACAGATAAAAAAAATTGAAACAAAATTTTTTTGTTTTAATTAAATTGTCAGGGGCGTGTACAGGGGGGGTCCAGGGGGTCCGGACCCCCCCTGCTCGCGCAGAAAACGCATCTAAGGAGGTCTAATTTCAAAAAATTTCTGGGGGAGGGCCCCCCAGACCCCCCCTTCGCGTGCTCCCAAGTTTGGGTTACGGTTAGACCCCCCCTGGTACAAATCCTGTACACGCCCCTGATTGTATTGACATTGTAATCACATCTTGCTGCTATTTCATTGTGAAAAGGTCCAAAAAATTATGATCACGACCCACCCAGAAAAAATCCTGGATACACCCCTGTATACATACAGCGGTGTACCCCGTATAAGGTATAATCTTCAAAGTCCAATGTACTATATCAATGACAAACACAGGGAGATTCAAAGTTAGCCAAAATCGATAGATCTATCAACACAGCGGATTGCAGCAGAAAAGATTGCAGTAGGCCCTACCAGGTAATTAAAGGGAGAGCTTACTCTAGGTTCTAGGGTTATTTTCAGCTAATTTAGGTTATAATTACGCTATACTACATAAAAAGTTTCATGGTTCAATCACCATTAGAATTTTTTTTTTTTAATGTTTTAAAACTAACGACTACAGTTTGATTACAACGACGGTGGCGCGACTCAAAGCGCACGATCTGATAAGTTGCTCAAAATAAGTTGGGTACAGACCGAGGGTGTTTCTTATTTATTCATTTAAAAGCAAAAGGATTGTAATATCTTATATAATTAAACGACATATAGTTTCAGTTATAATATGGATAAATTTGCCCAAAAATTAATATCGTTTGGTTAAATAGCAAATTTAGGTAGCCATATAAATATAATTGCACTTTTGTGATTAGCCCTCGGTCTGTAACGTGCAAAATAAATTGTCAAATCAGCGGGATCTGTAAACCAACAAAATAAAAAATTCTTGCCTTAACTCTTTCTTGGATGTTCGAGGTAAGTGTTGTGAAATTGTTGTTTTGTTGGGGGGTCGTGACAGTGAGAATGGCGCTTTGGCAGTCCGAGAAGATTCTGAGTTTTGATATGGTGTGGAGCGCAGAGTAGTTGACTGCGAAGTCCACTGCAAGGAATATTTCTTGAAGTTCTCCGTGATAGCTGCTGCTTTTACACGAGACTGCCTTTCGGATGGCGATGGCTTGGCTGTTGATGCCATTTGCGTAGACGATGGCTGCCGCCCCACAGGGTCCAGGATTCCCGAGAGCTGATCCGTCGGTGAAGGCAATTATGGTATTTTCGTCAGTCTCCCTCAGCTGTTCCTCCGTGATTTTTCGTGCCTTTTCAGCTTGGGTGGTCGATCTGTTCTTGCTGTTACCGAGTGTGTGCCATGAGTTTTTAACCCTGGTTACCATCGTCGCATTAAGCGTGCCCAAGCTATATTGTGGTTCGTGGTCTACCCGTTCCGGTGAGAAGTTCCTGCATAGGGAGTTGACAGCCATTCTGATGTGGTGTAAAGGGGTTGGCGTTCGGGGATCCATGAGGACTTGGTTATCCAGGTTGTGTAGTACCATGCAGCGGAGAGGGTTGTCATGGGGCTTCCTCAGGATGCGAATAAATTCGTGAGCCAAGATTTCCTGAAAGCGGAGTCTCGGCGGTGGTACATGCGTGAGGACTTCTTGGGCCGACGCTGGTGTTGAGTTGATGGTGCCAGAGGCTCTCAGTAGGGCTATGCTTTGCACTCTGTAAATTTTCCGGAGTTGTTCCTCGGACGCGCAACACCAGATGGGGTACGCGTATTCCAGATGAGGTCTGATGCATGCCTTGTAGAGTGCGATCCCGATCTCCATTTTCATTCCGCCTATGTCCGCCATGAGCGCGCTGATTCTTGCCAGGACTCCGAATGCTTT